AACATGGAAATGAATAGTCGTGGCTGTGTTCCAACCAAACTCCATTTACAAAACAGATCATGGGCTATTTTTCTTGCCCCTGTAAAACCAAGTTAGATTGTTGACTACCAGTGGTCAAACGGAACTGCTTTTCCAAGACTTGTTACATTCCTTTCAACGTAATTGAGAAAGAGTCAAAGTAAATTCAGTTGCTAATTGGGTCCTCGTGAAAAACAGGATGATTTCTCTAAACTGGCTCCTAAGTTACATTCTTTCAAGAAACATCCACTTCATCTGTGTAAATACAATAGGACCAAAAGAAAATATACTCCAATATTCAAATGTGCTTTTATAAACACAGTGTTAGGAAATGGTTCCTTGAGCTTCCTGCAAAATCCAAGTGTTCATTGTTGCTAAGGAGAGAAAAGATCTCTATTTTTTGCTACTTGACAGGTAAGGTGACAGCTAATAATAAAGCTTCCTGTTGATAATAACAACTATCATTTTCTGAGCACCTGAGCAATTGCAGATATATCAATTACTTCCTTTATTTCTTAGAACACTACAATGGGATAGGTACTGTGATCGGCTCAATTTTAAATAACATGAAAGCAAAGTTTAGACATCTTAACTGACTTATCCAAGGCCACAGAACTAGCCAATGCCCTCAGCTGGATGTGAACCAGGCAGCGGAACCTAGAACACGTCCACTGTCTACCAGAACAATGAACATGTAAGATATGGAGTCGGTTGTAATCTTTTCATTTGTAAGGGAAAGAGATGTACTCACTTTGAATGGATTCACAGGACTAAAACTACAGAGAAAAATGTGAATGTGAAAAAATGGGGAAAACGTCTTACCACTTCATGGTATGCCTGGAGTACCACACAGGATATCCACCCAGGGTAACACAATACTTCCTCCGAGAACCAGTCTTTTCTTCTTGTGCTTAGCTATTAGGGTAAGTTAGAAAATGTGTCTATTCTTACTGACAAGACAAGTAACCTCTTTTCTTTCCTTCCTACTGGCCTCATTATTGCAGCTAATTCATGATTTCCACAGACTGTTCTTTTATGTTTCTCAACTTCTTTTCCTGGTCACTAACTACTGAGGACCCACATGGTATTTCGTATTTAAGGTAACCAAGTCAGCTATGTGTTATTTCACACAGAACATTCTTGATTGGCGTAGTTCTCCTGTAAGGCTACATGGTGGTCATTGGCCAGTCCAGAGAGGGCTGTCTTAGACCTTGGCACATGCATTTCTCAACAAATCTGCTGTGGCCAGTAGAGCCTAGACACATGGTCATATTTTCTTGGTGGAAATACCTATGCAACGTGAACGCTCACCATTATAAGCACTTCTGCGATACTGCTCTTTACAGATCATGCTTATTCTTTTGGGATAGTAATACAGGAGGTAATGTACACCTATACTTGCTTTTTTCTGTTATTCTTATACACAATCACGATAAGTCAACTGTTTTCCAAAAACCTAGAGAATTGAAATTATACTAGATGGTTGTTGGAGATTATACACATATATGTCTTGATCATATTTCTAATCATTGTGGAACCTGTTATTGACAATATCTGGTACAATGCTATGTTCTTCCAGATTTGGGAACATGTTGGAATGCAATAAATTATCATATGTTATAATCATGCAGCCTAACTTCTGGTTACCATCTTAGCACATCCTTGGATGTGACAGCTAATCATATTACATTTTCCAGGTCATCTCTAATCTTATAATATGCCTCCCATCTTGTCACAGGATTAGATCAAATATTAATTGAAAAACATTATTACAATATCAACATGATTAGCCACAGCAGACTTCCGTTTACATATGGAAAAGTTTATATCAAGTCAGCAGAGCAAGTAGAGTCCTGCATATTTAAGTCTGTTTTTTCTAAAGTCCACTTCCAACATTCAATTCCAACCATTAGTTCCTCTACCTTTTCTAATATTGTGAATGTCTTTCACTGTTAACGTGAGTTTCCCTTAACTTCCTTTTAATCTGATTTTGATACAATTAACACTGAATTTATATCTCTACTTTTTATTTTATTTTAACCTAAGAGTATGTCAACCTCTCTTGGAGAGATGTATATATTACAAATACTAAATTTCAGTAGAGACATTGCTTACAGAAGAACGCTTTTTCTGTCAGTAATAATCAGAATCAGCTGGAAGAAAAGACTTGCACACTCACCTCTTTCAGAAACTAAAAGAACAAAGTACATGCTGGTTTCCAATGCTGGCAGTGATGGAATTTACAAAATCATTTATTTCGTGTAAGACAAGAGTTAACCTCTTCTAAAGGTAATGCAATTACTCTGTACCATCCTTAAAATAGTCTTAATATTCATAAGTATCATGTCAAATGCTAGAAACAGTCACTATATATGAGGTAACAAAAAGATATAGTATAACATGTATGAGCTTTAAACACAGCCAGATCTGAGTTCGAATTATAGGTTCATTACTGCGTGCCTGGCCCAGTTACGTATGCTTTCTCAGATTCCAGCTTCCCTTCTGGAAAATGAGGGCAAATAACATCCATGTTACCATTTCAACTTTCATATATTTTTATAGTTATCATTTTTTCATATATAAAAAGTTTATAACTCAGCTACCTGGCATTGAGGAAGCATGTGAGGTAGATTGGATACTGCCTATTTCTATTGGCTTTTATTGAACATATTGCTTATTGAGTAGCAGGCTAGAGAACTTGAAGCAAGTTTCATAAAGTTTTGAAGCCTTGCTTTCTTTAAATTTTGAGACTTCCTACTTTAGGTGAGGTTATCCTATACGACGTTTTCTGATCTTACAGAAGAAATAAACTACCATCAATCAAGTGAAAAACAGAATTTAATATAGATGAAGGAGCTAAGTAAAATAAATTGCTGCTAACTCTCAATTGAACCCAAGATTTTCTCCATCCTTTTATCAGTCAGTGTACTGCAAATCAGACAACCATGACAATGGTAAAACTCCTTCAGCAATTGTATTTTTAAATTAAAGTTTTATTTTAAGTTCAGGAGTACATGTGCTGGTTGGCTATATAAGTGAACTTGTATATAGGGGATTTGTTTTTTTTTTTGAATGAGAACTGCAATTCCTCCCTTTTTAAACGTAAATGGTTCGCTGGACAGTAAACACAACATTTGATGGACATACTCTGGTCATATATTTCAATGGTCAATACATCCAATACCGAGTTCATTGGGTCTGATGCCACCATCAATTCTGAAGTTGGCACAAGGATCGAGATGTTTTCAGCAACATGCAAATTCGCTAGTAACAAGTGTATGCACCTGTTTGGTTAATGTTGCCTCTTTCAGTTTATCAAGTTTGCTTAAAAGAAAATAAGAAGCCAAAGTCCCAGTGAAAGTCACTGTAGTCAACACACTCTTCTCTCAATTGTCATTAATTCTATTGAGAGATCATCTTCCCAGGGAAAAGAGATAGAAGTCTCAACGACAGAAGTAGATAAATGTCTTCAGGCTTTGGCTACAAACATACTGGTAACCAAGAACACATCAGCCTTTGGGAATCTTGAAAATATTTAACTCCTCTGGAAGAATAACATCAACATCAAAGCTCTCCAGAGAATTTCAGAATGATAACTAATTATTACAAAGTGTTCTGACATCTTTATAAAATGTCCCATCTCAAGATATCCATAGAAGAAAGGGGGAGTCAGCACTTCAGGAAATACAAGTGCTCACTCTAAAAAGCACATTTGAGATTCCATTATAAATCTTTACCCAAAAGCAGCTAGATATTTACATTGTGCTTTAACATTAGAAGTTAGTTATTAAAAATCAATTTGTTTCAGTCATAATAATATGTAATATTTTAAATAATGTTTCATTATTTGAAAACTTTTATAGTATGTCATACAATATCAAGGTAAGTAATTGCTATTCTTCAGTATTGAGAGTGCAGATTAATAGATCACATGATTATAGTGATAGAATTATTACTCTTAATTACATGGAAATTTATCACAATTTGGAATAAAACCATCAGGCTATATTTATATGTGCTTAGTAAGATATAAAATAAAAAGTTCAGGTAATTAAACTTTGGAAAAAAGTTGCTTACATAATCTTTCTAGATAGTTTTTAAAAGCTTAAGAGAAAATGGGTATAAAATAATTAATGCGACATGGTTTAATCTGAATTACCTAGATAATTGCCATATATGATATATGTAAGCTTAACTTCAATTAATTATACCTTAATAATAAAACAAAATAAAACATAAAAGAACAAAAAGTCAAAAATTTAACAAACACATTCATCCATTATTGAAGAATTCTTTCAAAAACAAGCATTTTAGAAAGCACTTAATTTTCCTTTGCTTTCTTTTTTTAATCATCTCATAAAATAAGTCCACTTCTCTTGAATACAAACTATAAACTATATGAATGGCATAATACGTTTTCTAGGATCATTTTTTTTTCTTAATACTTGCATCAGAAACTATAACATTTAAGTTTTAAGTTCCAAATGGATACTATTAAAATATTCAGGGATTTGGTCCTAAATCCTTAAACCAAAAGGGAGCTCAGGAATATTGCTAAAGTAGAAAGCTGCACAAAATCTCAACTCTCATTTGCAAATTTTCTTTCCATCTAATTTAACTTTGAAGCTTTCAGACTCAGATTTTACCATATGACATCAACAAACCACTTCAATCAAAATCAATTTACCTTGGCAATGCACCATCCTCCAAACAGATTATTAAAAAAGTAAAATGAGAAATTTACTCTTTTTCATGTTCCCTTTTATTTTCTCCTGATGCAAGGCAGAATGAAAATATTTCAGAAGATATTGCCCTGAAATATCATTATCTCCAACGCCGCGTTCACTCTAGGACACTTGCTTATAAACTAAGCTTGTCCTCACACAGTCACTTGCTGCAGTGCAGAATGTCAGTTTACTCAGTTAGAACTTCCAATGCAGAAACCCAGTGCCACGCAGTCAGCCAGATAAAGCAGCACTTACCTTAATTGAAATTTTCTCTGTGAACGAGGTGAGAAATCCGTCAAATCAACCGTGAATGGGGTGGGGAGAGCGAAGTTTTCAGTCAGCACCCTCCAAGGAGCTGCATCCTGTGCTCCTTTTCCCTGTTATGTGCAGCTCCTCGCTGTCTAAGGAGAGAAAAAGATCCGCTGAAATCCTCCGACGTTCCCAGTGAGTAAATGAGGGTAAGCGATGTTTCTGAACGGGAGATTCTCCGTGAGCGTGCTCCGTTCGGAGGCTCCCTAACGGCTGTGATCCACTCCTGGCAGGTCCCTGGAGCCAGGCGCTAATCATTGACCTGATTAGCAAGAACGCTCCGGGTGCGCAGGCAACACACGCCGAGGGTTGGTGGGTCTCCGGGGAATTGGAAAAGGCACCAAGGCCACTTGGGAATCTTGTCTTTTCCAGCCTAACGGATGAACTACAACTATGACTGCAATTTGGAAGGAGATGAGCCGCCGGGCTGGACATCGCAGGACTTAAACAAATGCGCTCTCTCCTGCCGTTTTTCAAGGTGCATTCGTGTAAGATATCAGGTGCGGTGAAACAATTAATAGACTGATAGAGCTGATTTGTAAGGCAAGCCTAAAGCTGAACAATGTTTAAAGCGATGTGATCAAAGAGGCAGCTGCACTTGTCTCTGACCCTCGCCTGCTACATACTTCAACCTCTGTCGAGGTAAAATGAATTTAAAGGCTGATTACAGCTCTCCGGAGTGCAACTCTGAATTGATAAAAAGGAAGTATTCATACTAAAGAAGCATATTTGGCAGTTTGCTACAGACACAAGAACAGAGCCTTGCTCGTGTAGTTTTCCAAACAGTATTTTCAATTAACATTACACCTGCAAAAAATGTTTGCATTGTACCATTAACTAGAGTCACGTAGGAGAGTACATCACACCTAATCGAATCATCTCTTTAATTATCTGTTGAAATACTGATTCACTAAAACAAAAACAAGCAAGCATATGAGAGGATCCAAAACATCAAACAACTTTTTAAACGCAGTCACGTGCCGTTACCAACCTGCTGGCCCCCATCCATCATCCGCCCTTTCAGCCACTGACCACCACCTCAGCACGTCCACATCCAGTTCCTACTTCCCTCAAGAAATCCGATTCTCTGGAAAAGGTCACATAACTGGATCCCAAAGCCCCAAATGGTTAATTTTTGACAGCTCTCACTTTCGCAGGAGAAAATTATGCAAATAACATAAAAAGAACAGATGAGAAAAGTCATTTGCATGTCTTGAGGGTGAGAAAATTCTCATTGCCAGAGAGAAAACTGACGACTGTCCTCTCACAGTGATCCTGAGTGATATGTTCAGCACTTTTTTTTTTTTTCAAGTAGGTCTCACTTGGAACATATGGCATTCCCTTGATGTATGTGTGTGCGTGTGTGTGGGGGGTGAGTGTGCTTGCGTGTGTGTGTTAAAAAGAGGGAGAGGGGAAGAGAGAGAAGCTATATCTACACTGCGATATTTACGTATGTCTTAGAAAAGCCCCAAATTTCAGTAGGCGAATGGACTAAGCAAAAATAATAGAGAATCCATTTGCCTTATAGATTCCCAAATATTTTTTTTTAATTTGTACCATTACAATACTTTAAAAATTAAATATTTTAAGTATCTCATTAAAATACAAGCTCTTGATGAAGCTCTTTACTATTTGGACAAAGTAAAACTTCAAGGTAACTGAACTGCTGCTACTAAGACAGGTACTCATCCTACTGTGAAAACGGAGATGTCCCTACAGAAGCCCCAGGAGGAGGTGGGGCTGTAGCCTCCCATGCAGAGGCCTCTTGCTCCCTCAGCTGGTGGAGGGTGACAGCTGAACGTGAAGAAACCCAGTCAACCACTTCAGGAGAGGGAGAACAATGTCTGCTGCTGTTAAGCAGGAAACCCATTATCCAATTTTAGACTGGCACGAGAGTAGGAAGGAGGCTGCTTAAATCGAAGTAAATGCATCTTGAGCATAAATTGCAAAAACAAGAAATTGTCACTGCTAATTTCTCCTGAGAGGGTCCCAACTAGTCTTTAATGCAGTACTTGTAAGTAACAGTGGGATAGATTCTATGGCTATTATGTGTAGCTGGTCATGCAGTTAAAGCCCTCCATTTCTCATATTGGTCTGAGTTCCATTCTGAGGATCTTAAACGGTGAACTATTTTTAAAACTTTTTAAAACATTAAGACAGGGTTTATTTTCCTGAACCTTGCCAACACGCAATCATCATCACCAACGAAAACAGGTGCACATGAAACTTTGTGCAGAAGATTGGTTCTACCTGGAAACCTCAGATGTATGAGACTGCACTGATGACACTCTCAAATAATCAGTCTTTCTGTTCTCATAAAATCCAGGGGTCTGGATGGGCACTGTGGCTCACGCCTGTAATCCCAGCACTTCGGGAGGCTGAGGTAGGCAGATCACAGGTCAAGAAATTGAGGCCACCCTGGCTAAAATGGTGACACCTGGTCTCCACTAAAATACAAAAACTTAGCTGAGCTTGGTGGCAGGAGCCTGTAATCCCAGCTACTCTGTAGGCTGAGGCAGGAGAATTGCTTGAACCCTGGAAGTTGAGGTTGCAGTGAGCCGAGATCGCGCCACTGAACACTGGCGAAAGACCTAGGTGATTTCGTCTCGGGGGAAAAAAATTCAGGGGTCTTTCAAAACTCTAAATGGTTTCAACAGAGAGTATGATGGCTCTTCAGTAGTTTTTTAAACCTATATTGAACCACTAATTGATTGCATTGAAAGTTCACACATGAATAACAAAGCAAAATAAGACAATTTTGTTGGGGGAGGGAGGGTAGACAACAGTCACATGAAAATAATAGGCACTGTCTATTACATGCTTGCTATGTGTCAAGTGTTTGGCATGCATGTCAGCTGTAGCTACCCCTGAACCCCTTGGTCCAATCTTGTTAAGAAGGTATTATAATATTTTATGTTTTTAATCAATTAAGGTAGGGCTCTGAGAAGTTAAGTAAATTTACCGATGTTGCATAGCCAGTACAGAAGAAACTCACAACTAGAAGTCAGGTAACTGTAACTATAAAATTACCAAATATTTAGAAGTTCCCAAATGTTAAAACTGGTAAAAATGCCTACTTCCAACAGAATAGCAAAATTGTCTAGTTTTTTTGACTTCCAAAAATCATTTTTGCATGTTTAAAAACTGTATTATAACTGATAAAGTAGTGTAACAGTTCTGCTATAAAAAGTTACGTATGTTTTAGCAGAAAATAAAATGCACAAAAAAACTTTAGGCTAAAAAATAGATTCCATCTAGAGCTTCCAAATATATAACTCCATTGGCACAAATTATTCAGTTTCAAATTTTTAAGAATCCCTTCTGCAATTCATTCAGTATCCCACTCAAATATAATAATTACTGCTTTTTAAAACAAGAAAATAGCTCCTCTCTAAGTATATGAGTATCTCAAGAACATTTACAAAACTATATTAGGCCAAAATTATGATGGCTTACTATCCTAGTTCTCCAAGTGGCATAATGTAATAGCAAAGCTCAAATGTATGTAGAGCTACAAAGTTTAACTCTGGTTTGTTCATGCTTTATCTACAGGTTTCCTAAAGTCACGTGAATCCTACCATTTCATACAGTTCTTTGAAATTCTCAGACACATCTGAAACTTCACAGAGAAGCATTGTGACCACACTTTTTCAAGGTGTTTAATAAAAGTTCCATCTAAAAAACTGACGATAACGCAAAGTAATGCAGCATTTAAACTTTGTCAAGAACTTATTATCGCATTTGATTCTTATGGGAATCCTGTGAAATAGGCTACCATGGGCATTTTTTTCTCATATTTTAGTGATGAGGAGACGAGGACTAAAAAGAGCAAGTGATTGTCCTTTGGTGTTCAATGGTGGAAAACCTAATGTTCTCCTTTTCACACAAGACCTATTGCTCCTCACTATGTCAATCAAATGTTTATCTGAGTCATTTGTTGACAAAGAGGATCTTAGGCGGCTACCTGAACAAAAGCCACTCTTTCTTCATTCACTTAGGTTTGTTCCAAACTGTAAATTGTGATTGTAATTTATTGGAGAAAAACTTTCTCTGAGCTGACAGGAAACTTGTGATTTATATACACTGGAATAACACCCCTTAGATTTCTTATAGACTTTTCCTAATCTTGGCTATTATTATTTAAATTTCACATATGTGAAGATGCTTTCCAAATATTAGTCTTATGATTCTTACACAAATCGAATCTTGCTTTTGTATACAATTGTAGATTCAGCTATTACCTCCCTACCATTTCTTGTGGTGGTTTATCAGAACAGATGTTGAAAAATTAGTGTTAGTTTTAAATATATATATATATTTACCATTTCATACAGGTCTTTGTGTATATATATATATATATATATATACACACACACACACACAACATACATACATAAACAAGCCACCTAACTAATAACAAATTGATCTTGCAGCAGCAGCAGCATTGAGCAAATATGAGCAAATACTATCACACAGAAGTTTGCTGAATGCTAATAGATTCTCATGTATTATACATATTTCTGCTTATGTCTAAATCACGGAGGACGAATGACTAAATTCCCCAGCCTTCAAGAGAAACTTTTATTTTTGGTTCCAGTTTCACACATATATACTCAAGAGATTAGGATAGGATGAAATTACAGAAAAAAAGAAAGCGGCCGGGCGCGGTGGCCCAAGCCTGTAATCCCAGCACTTTGGGAAGCCGAGGCCGGTGGATCAAGAGGTCAAGAGATTGAGACCATCCTGGCCAAGATGTGAAATCCCATCTCTACTAAAAATACAAAAGTTAGCTGGCTGTGGTGGCGTGCGCCTGTAGTCCCAGCTACTTGGGAGGCTGAGGCAGGAGAATTGTCTGAACCCGGGCGGTGGAGGTTGCAGTGAACCACTGTACTCCAGCCTGGTACCTGTGACAGAGTGAGACTCTGTCTCAAAAAAAAAAAAAAGAAAGCTAGGATAGATATCAGAAAACATAGGCTATAGTCAAAATTCTAGCACTAAGTAGCTTTCTAACCCTGAACCATCTAAAAAGCTTCTATTTAATAATTTCATTGGAAAATTTGAGGAAATGAAAGTCTATTATCTCTAAGATTTCATTCAGTTATGAAAACACATTATCTATTTGACTAATAATTTGTGATGTCCTTTTTACCTAATTCAGAAATAAGCAATCAAAAAAGAATTATTGTATCCAAATACATGTCTTCTTCCTTCTTGTGTCCTTTGGTGCTCCTAACAAATTATTTTATACTATAAAGAACATTATAGCAAGAATGTGTTGATTTCACAGTTCAAGTAATTAAAAAAAATCAAACAGAAGCTATTGATTTGAAATTGTAAGTGGAGTAGATTAAAAAATTATTAAGGTTGGGAATAGTCTTTGAATGTTTTAAAATAATTATAACCTGTTTCTTTAAAAGGTCATGGTTGTTTTATTGCAACTAGAATGGATTTAGCCATTTCTTTATTGTCCTGATCAGTAAAAAAATAAAAGGAAGGTAATTTAATTAAAATGATTTGAGAAATAAAATTGGAGAGCATACTTAAAGCATGGACATATAATATTAATATAGTTTGTGTTTTTAAAACCACATTTCCAATTTAGTAGGCAATTATTTTAAAATAACAAAAAAGCACAGTGCATAATTAAAAGAAATGAAATGGCTTTTGTAGACATAATTGCTTGGCATTTTAGACCTTTCCTGTTAGCTCTGATTTATTCTATTTTGTATGTTTCAGGTATGACTATGAAGTTCAAATAAAATGAAATAAATAACATGCAAAATTTTAAAAATATTAAACTCAGTTTCTATTAAATTGACTGAAAGACACTAAAATTAGTAATGACTAGAATTATACATATAATACCCCAACCAAACACATTTTTCGCAATGATTTTAAAATGCCATTAAATAAATGGACATATAAAATAACACTGATGAATAATATTGCTCAATGGAAAAAAAGAATATTTATTTCCTTGCTGAGTAGATAGGCTTACTCTTTTGGAGGGCAGAAAGGTGGTGGTGGGGTAGAGTGGAATGTGGAAAGACCTGGGAGAACTAATATCAAATGAATTTCCTGTTCACTAAAAAATTTTAGTTACATTCTGACTTAGATTTTCTTATTAATTTATAACTATTTAGTTATATATTTTGGCTATTTAATTATTTAACAAGTTATTACTACCATTAAATACCTATTAGAATAATTAAAATTAAAAAGAAAAAAAGCTCTCATTATGCCAAGGGTTGGCAGTGATGTGAAAAACCTATAACCCTCATACACTGTTCATGGGAATATAAAATGATGCAATCAATCTAAAATTCATTTTGGTAGACTTTTTAAAAGTTAAACATATGCCGTCATGTGATGAATCCATCTCACTGCGAAGTATTCTTTCCAAAGAAATAGAAGCATATTTCCATTCAAACAATTGGACACAAATGACCGGTTAGTCACAATGGCTCCACACTGGGGAAAAAAAAAAAAAAAATGTCCATCCATAGGTGAGAGAATTAACTGTGGCACATTCAGAGAATGGAATACTTCCCGGCAATTAAAAGTAACCAACTCCTAGTACACTCAACATGAATCGCAAAATGATCATGCTGATACAGAACAAGCCAGAAACAAGTACTTTACTAGTATATAATTACATTTCTGTAGAATTAAAAAATATGGAAATGTATCTGTTTTGCCAGGAAACAGGTTAGAGGTGAAAACAGGTTACAGTGACAGAAAACAGGTAAGTAGTTAGAGGTGAATCAGGTTGGAATGAGGAATGGCAGAGGTCCCAGGAAACCCATTGGGACAATGGAAATGTTGGGTGTCTTGACTATGGTGGTGGTTTCGCAGCTGTATACATGTGTCAAAACCCATCTAATTTGCACTTTAAATATGTGCAGTTTATTGTATAAAAAATGTGGCATATATACACCCTGGAATACCCTGCAGCCATGAAAAAGAATGAGTTCATGTCCTTTGCAGAGACATGGATGAAACTGAAAACCATCATTCTCAGCAAACTGACACAAGAACAGAAAATCAAACACCAAATGTTCTCACTCATAAGTGGGTTTTGAAC